CTCCCTTCCTCCCTCCCTCCCACTGGGGTCTGCTCCACAGAAGGTCAGCGAAAGCCAGGAGGAGACAGATGAGAGACGCAATGCACTGGCTAAGGAGGGGACGTGCAATTCCCAGAGTGACGGCAAGAAAGGTTTACATGCTGGTGGCTCGGTGTCCCGAACACCAAAAGGCTGAGGGTTCGATTCCCGGTCAGGGTACGCGCCTAGATTGCAGGTTGGATCTCTGGTTGGGTCCGAATGGGAGGCAACTGATCTCTCTCTCTCTCTCTCTCTCTCTCTCAGAAAATCAATAAACATACCCTCGTGTGAGGATTAAAAAGCGCACTAATTGCCCTGGCCAGTTTGGCTCAGTGGATAGAGCATCAGCCTGTGAACTGAAAGGTCCTGGGTTCGATTCCAGTCAAGGACACATACCTGTGTTGTGGGCTCAATCCCCTGTAGGGCGCGGGCAGGAGGCAACCAATCCATGATTCTCTCTCATCATTGATGTTTCTATCTCTCCCTCTCCTTTCTTCTCTAAAATCAATACAAAAATATTTTTTAAAAACTCACTAATTTATTGGTAGTGATGACAAATTAAATATTATTTGAAAATTGGTAGGTAGGGCTCAACTCGCTTCAATGCTCTTGTGCAATAATATTGAATTTTACTCAAAAATATTAAATGACACCTGTAACTAAATTGGGGATTATTAGAATAGACTTTAAGAATATATATAATTTTGAATGCAACACAATACATAGCGATTGAACATTAATGCTTCTAATGCAGTAGAATGGGCAGTCACTTAAATAAATTCCTTGAGAATGGGTGAATTTAATACAAATACCTCGCAAATCCTTCCCTTTTAGGGGGGACACAAAGCACTAAAAGCTTTGAACTCTGACCTTAAGTCCCCAAAGCATTTGTGCGGAAGAGTCAGGCAGTCACAGGAAACAGTGGGAAGTTTCTAAAAATGTAAACAGTGCAAGTTCCTCCCTTATCATGTCAGATACTAACATAGATAAGGAGCGTGTCGGGGTATGTAACCAGAAAGCACTGATCGGGGTTTGTAACCAGAAAGCACTGATGGGTCATGTGACCAGAAAGCACTGATGGGTCATGTGACCAGAAAGCACTGATCGGGAAAGTCAGCGAGGAAAAGACAGAGGGAGGAAAACAACTGCCTCCCAGTCACTTTTGAGCAGAAACAGCAGTCAGAAAGAAGAAACACAAATCAGTTTAAACATCAACCCAAGTCCCTGCCCGATTCTCCTGCTTAAACGCCGCAGGACAAGGTTTGCTCGATTTGCTCACGTGCCCTGTCCTCCTCCCCCAAGAATTCTTTTCCCAGTCGGCCTGCGGCATTTGATGACGAGGTCGTATCAGTTCTGAGGCCGGTCCGTTTTGTTGACGGTACAGGGATCAGTAAAAAAGGAATCTGTCCATTTTGCAAATAATTTACTAAAAGATTCAAACTATCTTTGTTTTCCTTTCAAGTCCCAGAATTTTACATCCTAGACACAGCCACTCACTAAGGCAGTCTCTGTCAACCCCGCCAGCCAACAAGTTACGGCCCTGCGCCCTCAAAGGGCCAGCAGCACCCCCTCATACCGATGTAAAGTGAGAGACTGAGGAGTCAGCATTTAATTATACAAACTGAGGGTGAGGGTAGCACTGGGCACAAGTGAAAGACAGGCGAGGGTGGGCTGGGACGGTTTGGTGGTCGGGGGCTGGAGGTCTCGAGGCTGCAAGGTTCAGGCGAGGGGAAAGGTTAAGAGCGCCCCGCGGAAGAACGAACAGGGCGTGGCACGTCCCCCCACGGGATGTGGTTTATGCCAAGGCCTCAATCCAGGAGGTGCCCGCGCATCAGGCTCCGTAACACACGCCTGAACCCACGGCGAGAATGTGTGTTGGCATGATTCCCAACTGGGCTGAATCCACAATCGTTCTTGGGACTATTCTAAGAAGACATTTTCTTTATAAAAACACCCAGGATTAAGCATTCTGACTAAAGTTTTCATTAAGCCTGGCCAATTGTTTTTTATCATTGCCATAAGAAGTAATACCTAATGCATCGTAAGTACTAAAAAGGAGGGGAAAATAGCAATGAAAATGAAGGGAGGGAGACCTGAGGCATAAATATTATTTATATAATCAAGCACTAATTTATATAATCAAGAGATTTCAATTACTCAAATAGAATATTCGATTTCTTGTGACCAGTAAGTTCAAGAGGGATATACTGAGTTCAGACCAGATAACTTCATCATGAATATACGAAACGCATACCGTAAAATTAATAACACAGCCATAATCAACCTGGAAAATAAGCATAAAGTTACCTTAAATGTGCAGCCCCCAAAATAAATTATGTCAAAATAAAAGAAGTCTTATTCCCTGAAAGCAGTTAGATCCGACATAAAACCAAGTGTCAGGTAAGGAGAGCGAGACAATTTGTCCTCCCTGGAACCTGCTCCGAGTCTGGGGCAGGTGTAGGCAGTGCCTGTAAGAAGTTAGCTGTTCTGGGTGCTTCTTTGTTAAACAGCCTCGTTACCTAATCATGGCAGGAAAACATCTAATGGTTATAGCTATAAGTACGGGCAGATCTTTAATACATAAACCTACACGATGGCTAGCAAAAGCAGAACACGGTAAGGAATCGTGAAAGATTACAGTCTTTGCCAGCAAACGAATGAAACTCATCTTCATGTTCAAACGCCTTGGGCCACAGGACCCAGGATGCCAGTCTCCTACGGGTCCAAATCCTGGCTCAAGGTCCCCGCGTGCTTTTGCCACACTGTCACCCCCCCACCCCCTCCCCGCCGCTTTCCCAAGTCCCTCCAGGAAGAAAAAGCAGTTCATCGTTACCCTTGGTTTGAGGTCTAACTACAGAGGCAGAAAAGCACCTTAAAAAGTGTTTTGTTTTACTGGCACCGATCATTAAAGGGCATACAGCACACGCGTGGCAATACGTGTCTTATTTCATATTTAACTCCAGTGTTTCCGTTTTAATGAGCAAGTGGGGGGAGGGGTGATCGCGGGGGAGAGGTCATCTGTTACTGCCTCTGCCAGGCCGTCTCCTCCTGGCTCTTCCGCTCTGTGCTGCTTCTAAGTTAACCACGTACGGAACGTGTGGACTGCGCTCCCAGGAACAGAGAGCACCGCCTGTGCTACCCAGGACCCTCCTCCAGTGACACCAGCAGACACTGAGCTCAATGAGGTTTCTCGGAAACAGTGACACCAAAAGCCTGTGATAAAATGGGCCTGCGGGAGGCTTCACGTCTCTCCGCAACGTTCTCTAGCCATTCCCGGGGCCCCAAGAGCCAGCCGACTTGGGTTAACGAAAATGTTAACCTAAAATATCCTCTCACCTTCCTGCGTAACTTTAATAGATTCCCTCCGCTCCCCCGCCCCCGGTCCGGGGGTGTAATCTGCTTTTCAGCAATCACAAGGAGCTCAATCCTTAGTGACAGGGTGTTGACACCTGACCTGCCTCGGCCATTCCCGAGGAAGCGATGGCCAGTGTCTTCAGTTCCTCTGGACGCCGCGATTACACTTGCATGTTCACATGAGACCTCTTTTCTCTTATCCACTGAGGCCACGTGTGCAGGAAGCTGAGCCCCTCAGCCGGCTGTGTGTTAGAGCTAAGGGGAGGCACCAGGACACGACCTGGGCCCTGGGGGTCAGGTGGGGACAAGGTGGATGCGCCCCGCTCGGTGGGAAGTCTCTCCAATAGAAGAGATGGAATACGCACGACAGCAGACTCAATCATCTCACCTGATGAAACGCTTCCCCCACCCACGCCCGTCACACACCCCCCAGTTCCCAGCGCTGGGAGACACGCCCCTGATGGCAGAGAGGGAACTGGCTTCTCACTGTGAGTGGGTCCGTGAGCCCCACTCGCCCCTCGCCCGGGCAGCAGGAACCTCGGACGGACCAGCGAGGAGGCCAGAGGAACAGAAACGGCCGGCTGGGGTGCCGCGGGCCCGGGGAGCCCTTCCCATCGTCCCGGTTTAGACGGCCCAGGGCCTCAGGCCTCCATCTTTCCGGGGGCTGAGCTGCTGCTCTTAGGAGAGATGCTAATTGCAGCTTCTTACCTACTAGACGCCCTCGCAAGGCCCGGCGCCCGCGCCCCAGGGCTTTCTGGGACTTTCTCCCAGGTGCCGGGAGGGGACGGCCACACAGCCTCCTGTCCTCCGAGGGTTTAAGAACATCACATCCTCAGGGGCATCAGCAGAAGGGCCGGTTCTTTAGACAAGAAACCCACACCCTCAGGACAGCTGCACTGGCCCGGCCGGCGTGGCTCAGGGCCTGAGCGTCGACCTAGGAACCAGGAGGTCAGGGTTTGACTCTGGTCAGGGCACAGGCCCGGGTTGCAGGCTCCATCCCCACATGGAGCGTGCAGGAGGCAGCTGATCCATGGTTCTCTCTCATCACGGATGTTTCTATCTCTCTCCCTCTCCCTTCCTCTCTGAAATCAATAAAAATATATTTAAAAAAAAAAAAGAAAAGCTGCAGTGGGCCCACAGGGAAAACCCACAGCCCCCCGCTTAGCGCCTCATAAAGCAGGGATTTCCAAGGCGGGCACAGCCCCCTCTCAGGGACCGGGTTTAAGGCAGAGGGAGGAGGCAGGGCAGTGACAGTAGACCCGCTGCCTCCCGGGGGCTGGGCAAGAAAACCTACCCTGCTGGCAGCTCTCCTTGAAAATGCGTTTTCTTTACAAGAAAATGACAAGTTTAAGGGGGAGAGGAGGGAGCGAGCAGCCGCTGCCCACACAGACTATGACTTTAAATTTAATTATTGGAAAATTACCCTATTCGGGCCAGAGAGAGAGAGGAGGAGGAGGAGAAGGAAAATAAGAAAATAGCGACTGAAGCCAAGGTGAGGTTATGTAAGCAGGAGGGCGAGGCATCGACGGGCACCTAAGGATTCCACCGGCCACGCGGAGACCCAGAAACATGCGCTGCTTCTGGCCCACCCACAGGGGCTCCGGGTGCCCACCGCGACGTGGGCGGCACCAGC